ATGAGCATCCATCAGTGTGTACTGGAGCATCTGCGGGACACGAGGGGACCCAAGCAGATAGCTTTTGGGTCTTTTCTAACTTGAGAGGTCTGTGAGCTAGCATGGGTCCTCACCATTCGCTTTGTTTTCAATCTTTTCTTAGGCTGTGGGCAACGGTGGGGACCAGTCATACAAGATGGCCACGAGTCGCTGTGTGCAGCTGATGTTAGTCACCATGGCCAATGATTTGAAAGAGGTTTGGATTGGAGATCAACCTTTTCTGTTGGTGGCATATTTGTGGCAATATATGCCAACCTGGGCCTGGTGGATAACCAACAAGTTTGGAAAGAAAAGAATTGAAAGCTTTAAAAGTGGTATGGTAAGAGCAGTTTATATAATCTTGAAGTATAAAATCTTAGTATCAGTTAAAAAGTATAAAATCATACACTGCCTAAAAGCCTCCACTAGTCGCATGGTATAAAAAGTATCCCCATAGGTATCTGATGGGTTACTGTGAGCTATCACCAGTCTTTGAGAAGTCACTGTCATTTGAAAAGTTGCCTTGGGTTCTCTTCTCCTTAGTCTCTGGCCAGTGCACATGCCGGAGCAGCGCTCCTTCTCTGTTGCTTCTCCTTCCATCCGCTGCTGTCCTACCAGTCTCGGTTCAGGTGTCCCTGCCTTGCCTTCCACTTCACCCCAGGCCTGGGTGCGCCTCAGCCTGCGGTGTTCTTCCTCGTAGCATCGACCGTTCTGTTCTGGCACACACACATGGTTTGCTTCCAGTGCCCTTTACCTCCTTTCCAAACTACTCTGCACTTCACAGAGGCACCTGTGCCCAACTCTGAAGCAAAAGGCCAATCCCTTCTTCATCTGGCTTTCTTTTCTTCTTCTTTTTTTTTTTTTTTTTGGTGGAACTGAGGATTGAACTCACGCCCTTGGGCTTGCCAGGGAAGTGCTTATACTACTGAGTTATCTCCCCGGCCCCTGGCTTTCGTTTTCATAGTTAGTGATCAACGTTATTATCAACTGTTTCTGAGAAAACCAGGATCAGAGTTTAATCAGTAAATAACATGGAAAATGTAATGAGTTAACCCCTACATTATAAAATAGTATTTTGCAAAGAAGAGTGATTGCTTTGAATAGTTTTTATTAATAAAGTTATTTCTTTCATATATTTTGTTACTATCTTTTTTGATTCAGCAAATGTGGGTCATCCATGAAAAAGAGAATCATGAAAAAGGACCATACTATATTGTTGTTATATAATCTACCGCTGTTTAAAAAATCCACTTTAATGTCTAATCAACTTGTCAGACATTTAATTTCTTCCTGATTTTGCAGGACAGAGAAAATGAATTAACAGGGCAAGAGCAAAAAACAATAAAATACTTAGAGATTTAAAGATTATAAAAACAGATCTTGTTACGCACTTGGGTACACTGCATAAGGACTGATTCATGTTCCCGTCACTCTTACAGGATGCAGATGCCTCTTATTTTAAATCCTTGAAGAAAAAACATGATTGAACGGAACACTTGCAGTTTCTGAGCTATTGAGGGAAGAGTTAAAAACATCATAGCAATCTACTTATATTTTTCAATACAACTTTACTTTCAACATATAATGAACAATAAAGACTGCCATGAATCTTATATTAATATATACTATGTTCTTGAATAAAATACTGAAAAATTTTAAGAATATGTGCTTTTAATGTATGTTAACAAATAGCTAAACAAAGAATCATGCTCTTCTTTTTAACATATGTCTCAGTCTATTATACATTTATACCAAATTATCAAAGACTGGAAAATTTATAAACAATAGAATATTTTTTCTCACAGTTCTGGTGAAGTGGGAAAATGAACCAAACTGACACCATGTTGTATTCAGGCATCATCTTAGAGCTTAACTTTCTGTTCCCTTAAGTTTATTTCTTGCCTGAACTGGGTATGGTGGCACATGGCTGCGATCCCAGCACTCTGGCAGGTTGAGACAGGAGGATTGCTGCAAGTCTGAGACCAGTCTGGGGGCTACAAAAGTACACACAAGGCCAGCCCAAACTGCATAGTGAGACCTTGTCTCAAAAAGAAAACAAGGGGCTGGAGAGATGGCTCAGTGGTCTAAAGCACCTACTTGGAACAAACTAAGCTAAGCAAAGCACAGGGACCGCGGTTCGATCCCCCAGCACCACATGCCAGCCAGCTGGCCACCCACCCACCCACACACACACACTAAATAAATGTTAAAAAAAAAAAAAGAAAGAAAACAAGCGGCATGAGTTCACTTTGTGTTTCTGATTTCCAGGGCTAACGTAGCATTAGTAAATCTCCTACCGACATACTACCTTGATAATCTGTGTTTCCCGTTAATTTAAGAACGGGTTAAAATAATTTTGACATTTGAGGGATGGGTACGCAAGAGAAAAATATATTTCTGCTTACCCTGATTTACAAATAGTGTTATTTTTCTATTAGTATAATAAATGCTTCTGCTGTAGGGGAAAAAAAAAGTTTATTTCTTGTAAATGTTGTCAGTTACCTAACTTGATACCAACCCCATGCTTTGTCGCAAGACTACTTGTTTCCTATGTAAAATGTCAAACACCTCTATTTCTTTGTCATAAACTAAGCCCTTGTGCTGTAGGAGGATTTCTGTAGCTGCAATAGGTCATATCAGAAAAAAACCTAGTCACCCCCCCCCCACCACCACCACATATAACTAGACTGGGAACTAGAACAGTGTCACTGTTCCCTCCTTCCCTTTAGGGTCAGTTCTTGTTCCTGTACTGGGTGCCCAGCGTGGGCAGAAAGCTTGCTTGTTTCTGCATCCAGCATTCATGGGTGACTCAATTCAATAAATGCATTTGCCACATCATATGGAGGCCCTAGTGAGATCCCAGGGAGGCACGCACTTGAACCCCAGATTTGTAGCCTAGGAGGCCCCAACTCCCCAACCTGAGTAGCGTTTGCCCCGCCGAGTAGCATTTGCCCTGTCCCCGGGCTCGGGAAAGGGATAGACTGCTGTTGAACGAAACAGTCAGATCTGCCTGGCCACACTGCTAAGACTCAGTTTTGCTTCCGGCTTATCCAGGGACCTTCTTTGCCTGGACTTTGGACACCTTTGGATGTGGTGGTTGTCACTTGTCCTAACCCATCTGAGTCAGGGTTTGGAGGGCTATGGGAGCCACATCAGGGATTCCAATGGCCTGTTTCTTAAAAACAACAAAAAAGAGGTTGGGTTTGTTTTCCTGGAACTAGAAATACCTGTTTTTCCTATTTGCGAGTATTATGTGTGACCATTTGTATGGTGTCCCCCACCCCCACCCCCATGCCTTCCACTTCAAGTGTCTGCAGCCTCCAGCCTTGCTTTCTGACCCACGAGCCTCTGACTCCTACCCAGCCTTCCTGGACAGATCATTGGGCAAAAGCTGGTGTGGCAGCTGTCTGATTTGCTGGACCCGGGACTTCTGTGTGGACTTTTTGTGGAGTGGCCTGGTACAAGTTTGGAATGGGGTTAGACAAGCCCCCCTCCTCCAATAGTTTCCTTATATCGATTCTTGCTTGTGTGTGGTCGGAGCGCTTACCCCATGTGTGCATGCAGTCCCGAGCACATCCTCCTTTTAAAGGACAAGAACCACTCTAAAAAGCCACCATCGGAGAGTCCTGCGCTCAGACCCTGAGGATGATCCCCTTGCTGTGCCCCCACCACTTGCTGCTCCACTGCTCTGTCCTGCAACTTGCTAGGCTCACAGGCAGCCATCACTGGAGGCAGGGCCGGACTCTATTGGGGATTCAGTGTCCTGCACCCCTCACCCCTTGTGCGCTTACGCCAGTACCACTGGCTGGGGAAGGAAGCCAGTCTGTAATGGTTTATGTCTGTGCTAGCACTAGTGACCTATATAACTGGAAATCCCAAGTCCACCCTCAAGTACTCATGCAGGGAAGCCCTTTATTTCTTGAACACGAAGGAAGCAACTGAGAGATTGTTTAGCCTTACCAAGAAAAGACATTTTAGTAGATTAACTAGTACCAACACAGGAGGAGAATAACACTACGTTTCCGACACACGTTCCTGCTTGCAGAAACATCATGGGACAGTACAAATATCTGGGATTTTTACACTTGCTATGCAGCACATTCCTCCTCACCTTCAAGGGCTATGGTGTGATGTGACCGATGGCTAACCTGCTTTGACAATCCAGTCTGCTGCAGCAGAGCTGTACTGCACACATTTGAACAATTGAGTAACTGTATAACGTAATTGGAGCTTAAAAGTAAAACACTGAAAGGTGAAAGATCAAAAGCCTTTCAGTTATCTTGAATTTTCATGGAGAATTATATAAAGGGTTTCTTGCAACATAACCGCCCCAGTTACTGAAGTGGCAAATTAAGCTGGAGTTAATATTGTTTTGAAAAGGTACTCAAGCTCTGACATTTTTAGATTTGATATCTGTAAATAATTTATCATTTGAATGTGTCAGGACAAAAAAAGCCTACTCATAAGTTTTATAATTACACGTACAAATGTTTATAGGGACTTGAAATTTTTAACCTGGCCTGAATGAGTTCGTGTTCTCTAAAACCAAAGAATGAATTTTAGGAACAAACGGCGGTTATGAGCAGAATATATTTATTGAGAGAAAGAAAGCTTCTGTCCAAGAGAGGGACAGGAGGGGGCCC